CCAACCCCCTTTAAGGCAAATCTTGGCACACCCTTTATGGAATTTAAGCATGCCACTTCATGACCTTTTGCTGGGAAACTAAGTATTCATGAAGGGCTGGCCACCTTCATTGCATATCTAAATGAGGTATCCTTTGAAGTGCATATTTGTGAAGCAAACAGGTTTTGGCCCATTGTTAGATAGACTAACTCTGGCACCGAACTGTCTGAAAGAGAACTCTCAGCAAAGACGTCTGTCATACAGTAAAGAAGGTAAAGAAGTAATTAATAGAATATTCCCTTTGCCAACTATGGTATCTATAGAAGAGGAATTTATGGGAAGACATATTGCACATCCGCACTGATAAAGCTTTAACTGAAATCTATTCTTAATACAATATTAGTTACAGTGTTTAATGAAGATTTCACATAAAGTCATTATCTAACACCAGCTACTACTGTGCGTTAACGCTTACTGGCCATAAAAATTGTCATAGAACACGAGATAGATGTTTAGCAGTTTTACCAAGTTTGATGGAGCAGTTATGGGTAGAGGTCCTTAATACGTATATAGATACAGTTATCTCAGCTAAAACAATAAAAAATGACATTAAAGCTGCTAAGAAAGAAAACATGTAGGACTAGAATTTATGCTTTAGCCGTCATGATCACAAACAGGACAGGCTAGAGCAACTGACTTATTAGAACCCATCCATTGCTGGGGCCTGCCTTTGCCCATCCCCTATTGGATTAAGAAGAGGCATGTGACTGCATGCAATACTGATGAACTAAACTAGCTGTAGCCAGGTACTCTGCCAGCTGTGTGCACCTCTCTCACTCGTCCCCCCCCCCCCCCCCACCACCACCACCACTGTGAGCAGTGACAGAGCCAAGACTCTTGTGTTATGATGCAGGCGGCTCTCACCCCTTGCTTCCCTTCTGTGTGAGCAGAGCAGGCTGCATTCCTTTCACCCCTCACCTCCTTGCTTTGTGAGCAAAGCAGGCTCTGCATCAAATCCTTATGCTCACTCTTACCCTGCCCCCTCCTCCTGGCAGTAGAAGATCTGTGCCAATCAGCAGAAAGAGGACTTGCTATGCAGCTGTCTCCATATATTCTGGGAAATGTAGTCCTCAAAGGGGCACAGTGCAATGCAAGTGAAGAGAGGCTGATGCAGCTGTGGACTTCACTACAAGGTGTTTCCGACACAACAGAGGAGCAGAGAGGAAGCCAAGACATGCAGATGTTGGGCTTTGTCTGGGGCTGTGCAGAGAGCAGGGGCCATAGGAATCTTTGCCAAGGGGGACTGAGAGTGTGCAGACCTATCACTGGGGTGTCTGTACTCACATCAGTGACAAAGGACTGAGAATTCTTTTGCTGTGCTGGGACACAAAGCTAGAGGAACCCATTGCAATGCGCGCCTACAATCACGAAGATCCAGTGAGGACTGAGACTTCTGGGAGTGCAGACCACCAAGTGATCTGGACCGGATTCCTCTGTACCAGGAGGGGTGAACTGAACCGCCTGTGCTTATCTCAACAATGTCACAGTTAATGCAATAGAGACTGCCCCTTAGCAGCCATTCAGCCATCCCTTGCATACTCATAAAGGGACAGCTTCATGTGCACCACCTTACAGGAGGACCTCAACATGTCACCTTAAAGTGATTGTGAACCCTCACCTTGTAAAACAGCTCATTCAGTTTAAAATATAAATGAAAGGAAAAACATTTGTGCATAGATATAAAAAGCATTATACATAAATGTTTTCCCTTTTCTATAAGTGATCAATTCCCTCTATTCTTAGCTGCATAAGAGCTGGAGGAGGGGAAGCAGCAGCACACTGATCTTCCCAGCGCAAGGCTGTGCAGGGAGGGATGGGCTGTCAGGACAAGTCAGATCATTGGAGGAGAGCACACTGAGTTCCCAGCACAGCTAGAGAGCTGACCACAGTATATCCTCCTACTTAGTGTGGTCAGTTTTTAATAGGAGAACAGAGGGACTGGCAGGAACACCAGGGATTTCACACAAAGGTAGCAATACAAAGAGAACAGGGTGTTTTTTCATACAAGTACATGGTACAGCAGGCACCATGTATCGTTGCAGAGCACACTCCAGGACATTTTCTTTCAGTTGCTTACTACAGAGTTAAATGTTGATTACTGCCATTCTATTCCTCACTGTATATGGGGTTCCTTATTAATGCTGTGGAATCCATGTTAGTTTTGTTTAGCATTGATTTAGTCTAAGCTAAACTCCATACTTAAAGTGTTACTAAACCCAGGACCCTGCATTCACTATATCTGGTCTCCCCGGACCCTGCATTCACTATATCTGGTCTCCCACAGTACACAGAACATGGAAGTGCAATTATTTTAGTAAATATAAACTGCTAAATACCTTTTCTCATCAGAAGTTAGAGCAGTCCTGTGACTTCTATCAGTGTCCAGCCCAGCACTAGCTGAAGCTTGTAGGAGGAGTTTTCTTTCTGCTCTAGGAGGATACAAATCCCCTGCCCTCTGTCTGGACACTGCTGATTGGCTCTGTGCTGATCACATGCACTCTCCCAAGAAAATAAACCTATGTAGCAATACACACCAAACTGAGCATGTTCACGCCTATGGTTCAGTCTGGAGATAAGTGGTGGTTGCTTGTAAAAGGAGAGGAACAGAGAACAAAGGATAAAACAGCCTTTTTACACAGTGCAGAGGATTAACCCCTTAGGTTCCACAATGAGTATAACAAGCATGCTTTACTGCATATACAGACTGATTTTACTGTTGTGGGTTTAGTAACACTTTAAGACTAGTATTTAAATTAGTTAGCCTAATGTATTCTAACATGATCTTTGCCCATTTATTGGTTTGTACTTCATTTTACCTTACCTTGACTTAATACACTTATTCTATTTGCCACCAAGTTGCTTGTGGACTATTTTCTGTGTACTGTTATAGAGTGGCAGCATACTAAAGCTTAACTTACACAGATGGGAGCAGCCTCCAGCTTACAACTAGGTGTATCAGTGGGGACCAAGCAGCTTAGAGAACCGTAGTAGAACAGAGAACCCATCATCCCAACCACAGCACCACCTGCCTGGAGTTTGCATGTTCTCCCTGTGCCTGTGTGGATTTCCTCCGGGTACTCTGGTTTTCTCCCATACTCCAAAGACATGCTGGTAGGTGAATTGGCTCCTGACTAAATTAGCCCTAGTATGTAGGTGTAGTATGTAGATTGTACGCCCCTTGAGGGTTAGGGACTGATGTGAATGTCCAATATATATGTGTAAAGCGCTGAGTAAATTTATGGCGCTATATAAGTACCTGTAATAAATAAATAAATAAAATATCCAGCAGCTCCTGCGGGGGAAAGTGTGGCACAGTCCTGGAACAAACAGAAATTCCAGAAGTAGGGCATTAGACGCCTCACCAAGACAGCCATTATGGTAAGTGTCCCTAAAGCTCCCAGGACTCCCACCCTGGTGGCTGCTAGAGTAATGAACTTTGTAAGTTTTATTGATGCTGTCTACTTTTATTCTAAAGGTACCAATAGTATTAATATCACATGTATTTGTATGTTTATGTGTCTTTGTGTCCTTAAGCCAGAAAGAAAAAAAGTGCTTTTTTTGCAGAAAAACCAAACCAAAAAATCAAATTTTTATAGCAAAGCTGTTTGTGTGACACATATTCAGGATAAGAGCTTTGCAATGGCTATGGACACTGGATCTTCACAGATGGCAGCGCCAGCCTCAATCCTTACTTAACATAAGCAGATTGTAAATACAGGACAGAGAGGTACAAGACAGCCACTTTGTCAGCAGTCGCAGCAGCAGCACAGTTTTGTGGTGGTAAGCTGGATAGCACGTGGTGCTTTGCAGCAGATGGCTCTGGCAACATGAAATAATGGTTTCTCAAAGTCAGTTGACCATCGCTGATCTGAGTGTCAAGTATTTATCTTATAAAAAGAAAAGCCTGCCACATGGTTTAGGATTCTGCAGATCTACAGACAGAATCATTTCATTTTTCTTTATTCTGTTGGGTGGGAACTGCAACAACCTGCCTTGCAGAGAAGCCTGATATAGTAACTGGCGTGATCTAATGTATGCTGATCTTTCATTTTCAGGTGTTTTCCCAGAAAGAAATATATTTTATATATTAAGGAGCAACAACAGCGGCGAACACCGGACACCTGGAGGAAGAAAATGAGGAAAACAGCACATTGTGATAACTAAATGTTATACGAGAGATGCCTATAATAGATATGTTAAAGTCACTGCCATGTTATCGGCACTGCCATGTTATCGGCACTGCCATGTTATCGGCACTGCCATGTTATCGGCACTGCCATGTTAGAGATGCTGTATTCTTAAAGCAACCCCATCCCCAACTTCCTAATTTAAAAAAAAAAAACGTTTCAAGCAATATGTGTAAATCCACCTTATATATTTGTTTTAATGTGTTTGTAAATCTTTTCCCTTGTGGCTCATAAGAACCAGGCCACAGGTCACAGACCGATGCGGGGTAACACCATTCTTCAGTCTATATTTTATATATATGAAAGCTATTGGAATTGGAGCATTTCCAGGGGAATTAAGACCTGTGGCCCCTGTGACATGCTGCAGCAAAAGGTGGGTGTGGCCAAACTGTTCACAGTGGGAGGGGCTTAAGGACCATGGTTAAAAAAAACATGGGCTTCCTTGTACCCATAAAATATGCTTTGATTGCTGTGTCACAAGCAAGAGGGTATTATAATTATACAGGATTTATATAGCGCCAACAGTTTGCTCAGCACTTTACAATATAAAGAGAGACAATACAGCAACAATACAGTTCAATACAAGAGGGATAGGAAAGTCCTGCTCCTTGGAGCTTACAATCTAAGAGGGAGCGGCTATAGAATGTATTATTATTATACAGGATTTATATAGCGCCAACAGTTTGCTCAGTGCTTTACAATATAACGGGAGACAATACAGCAACAATACAGTTCAATACAAGAGGGATGGGTGCAGGGGTGGACTGACAACTCATGGGGCCCCCGGGCAATAGGGGTTTATGGGGCCCCTGTGTCCTTGCCCAAACTCAAAAGAGCCTATGAAAAAGGTACCAGGGGCATCTCATGGGGCCCCCTACTGACCCCGGGCCCTCGGGCAGTGCCAACGTTTCCAAATGGTCAGTCCTCCCCTGGATAGGAAGGCCCTGCTCCTTGGAGCTTACAATCTAGGAGGAGATACATATAAACCTCAGTACAAAGGACAAAAAATTACCACCATTACAGGTGATTTTGTGTACACTGAAAATAGAGAGCTAGGAGAAGACGTTCAATAAAATCGTTGGGACAGGGCAGGTGCCTGCCTATGCTAGTGCACCCTTGTCAGGCAAATTAGTCAAGCCAAGTGCTGGAATATGTTCCAAGACTAGGCTCTGGGACTCTAGCCTAGATTTGTGGAATGCCAGGATATAGTTGAAATCTTGGCACAGTCCCACTGAATCCGAGAAGGTGGAGGGGTATGCCTCTTCCTATACATACTGTCCCTCCTGCGAACATTAACCCCTCCCTGTACACACTGCCCTCTCCTGCGCACATTACCCCCCCATACACACTTCCCCCTGCGACACTGCCTCCTCCTGCACACATTATCCCCCTTCACGTACACACTTCCCTCCTGTGCACATTACCACCTTCCCTGTACATAATGCCCCTCCTGTACACACTGCTCCCTTATGCACACATTACCCCCCCATGCAAACTGCCCTCCCTTTGTACACACTGCCCCCTCCTGTACACATTACCCTACCGTGTGCATACTGTTCCCCCCCCTCCCCGACACACTGCCCCCTCCTGTACACATTACCCTACCGTGTGCATACTGTTCCCCCCTCCCTGACACACTGCCCCCTCCTGTACACATTACCCTACCGTGTGCATACTGTTCCCCCCCTCCCTGACACACTGCCCCCTCCTGTACACATTACCCTACCGTGTGCATACTGTTCCCCCCCCTCCCCGACACACTGCCCCCTCCTGTACACATTACCCTACCGTGTGCATACTGTTCCCCCCCTCCCCAACACAATGCCTCCTCCTGTACACATTACCCTACCGTGTGCATACTGTTCCCCCCTCCCCGACACACTGCCCCCTCCTGTACACATTACCCTACCGTGTGCATACTGTCCCCCCCCCCCCTTCCCTGACACACTGCCCCCTCCTATACACATTACCCCGTCCATGTCCACACTTCCCCTCCTGTGCAAAAGCCCTACTTCTCTGTACACACTGTCCCCTCCTGTGCACATTACCTGCCTCCCTGTACACAATACCCCTCCTGTGCACATTACCCTACTGTATACATACTGTCCCCCCCCCCTCGTTACACTGCCCCCTCTGCACACATTACCCTGTCCATGTCCACACTTCCCCTCCTGTGCACAAGTCTCACTTCTCTGTACACACGGTCCCCTCCTGAGTACATTATCTGCCTCCCTGTACACACTACCCTTCCTGTGCACATTACCCCCCTCCCTAAATACAATGGTCCCCATCCCTCTCCACAATGCCCTTCTTTCTCTTGTACACTGTACCTGGAAATCTGAGACATCTAGTTGCAGAGACATTGCTCAGCCTGGCAAGGGTTAAAGCTGATGCTGGCAGAGTGCTGCCTCCGCTCTACTCTTTTCAGCTTGGCTCCCTACATTCTTAAGAAAGCTGAAATACAGCCACTTTCTGCTCACATTCCTGAGATTGAGGTCCAACCTACTGACCTGTTCTACTGCAGCTCTCTGGAGTACAGATCAAGGACACCAGAGCAGCTGCAGTGCCACCTAGTCTCACAAGAAGAGCTGATTGGCTGCAGGGTGCTAGTCCTGATTGGAGGCATCCTGGTCAGTAGTTTTTTGTTTACCTGGGGTAGTTGACAATCACAGATGGAGTGATCCTGCTTCTATTGCACAGAGTGGCTGCAGGTCCAGTACTGAGTCACTGTACTATACTTGCAGCTTCCACCCATATGACATGTGGAGGTGCAGAATAAAGGCCGGATGTGTGGGGTGCTGAGATTTTGCCGCACTCTCTGGACTGTCCCGCCAAATATGGGACAGCTGGGAGGTGTAGAGTAGGGACATACCAGAGAGGGATCACTTTGACTTAGCTGACCTGCTTAAAAATGTATTGTAATACAGTATATGCAAGCCAAATGTTTGTAAGGGTGTATAGCAGAGCACTGATTCAGAATTTTCAGTGTTGACATGTGGTTACACCCTTTACCACCTATTCTGTTATATACAGTATATGTAAGCCATTTGGACTTGGGCACGTACATCTCTCCATTTCTATTGAATAAAGAAGGTCAGTGACTAGACCAGACCTCAGTCTGTAATTTTCTTCCAACTGTGTCTGTCTTTCCATGTTGGCACTATGGGGTTTATTTACTAAAGCTGGAGAGTGCAAAATCAGACTCACTTCTGCATAGAAACCAATCAGCTTCCAGGTTTCATTGCCAAAGCTTCATTGAACAAGCTGAGGTTAGAAGCTGATTGGTTTCTATGCAGAAGGGAGTCTGATTTTGGACTCTCCAGCTTTAGTAAATAAACCCCTATGTGTCCATTAACCTCCCTGGCCTTATTCCCGAGTGTAGCTCGGGGTAAAATTTCAGTACCAAGAGCGGTAACCCCGAGCTACACTCGGGCTTACCATGCGGCGTTGCTCAGGGGTTCCCTGCAGCGCATACCTTGTCCTTCGCTCCCGTGATCATCCCCTGCAGCGTCCCCAGCCATCTCCTCCGGCCAATGCCGGCATCCGGCGTCCGTGTTCTGGTCCCTGCGAGCGTCGGGACGTACGGGACGTACGGGGGCCGGAACCAGCAGCAAATTTAAACATTTTTAGAAACTGTCATTTTCTAATAAATGAATTTGACATAGTAAAACATTCCTGTATCAAAACATTTCACATACATTTTGCCCCTACTGCTTTGTCCTGTGCCCTGCCTGCATTTTTACCGTTCTTTCTGCCTGGAAACTTAGAAAAGTCCATGGCATCCAAAAAGCGTCCCTTTATGTCAAAAGTAGTTTTAGCCCGGCTAGAAAACAGCGATAGTAAATCAGAACTACTTGCAGAATTGAATGATAATGATTTGTGGGGAAATTGGTCATCAGACACTAAAAACGATTTTGCGACTTTGCTCAGCGATGTGCGAACTTGACGCTCTATTTCAAATTTCAGTGTTTTTGCTTTTATTATATTATTGAATTAAATTTATTATTATATTATTATTTTTAATGATTATTTATTAAATTATAATTTATGATTTCGTGTTTCAAGTTTTATCATACCCGGGATGTTTACTAGACTCTTGTTCAGACAGATTTCAGTGAGTTATTCCTAAAAATTACAGGCCTACAATAAAAAAAATACATATTTCCATGCAAAAAAATATACAGCTTTTAGCACAGAAATATGGACATAATCAGACCGCTAGGGAGGTTAAAGTATGCTGTAGCAAGTATATAGTTGGTAATAGGCAAAATAATCTAGGCTAGGTCTGTAGAAGATGTTCCAAAGCTGCTCCATGCCACTTTTTCAGTTCCAGGACATTAAGCATTTTGCACTTTGCATATTAGAGTAGAGCCTGGCCAGATGACTTTGACCCAGCTGGTCAGCTTGAACATGCAATACATGCAAACCAAGAATCCATGTTTTTATGGAAATGTTCAGTGTTCAGAGGGTTGATTCAGAATTTTTATTGTTAATTAATATTGTTTAGCCTGTAATATGTTATTAATGTGTACGCAATTTGGATTTGACCACAAACATCCCTCCATGTTTATTGCATAGTACAGGTCAGTGACCAGACCTCAGTCTGTAGCTCTCCTTCAGCTGTGTCTGACTGATATTCGCACAATGTGGTTGATTTACTAAAGGTAGTTTGCTCCAGAGCTTAGTAAATGAGGTAAAGCTTCACTATGCAAAGACTACCCAATCAGAAGCACGGAAAAAAAAACAGCTTTTTTGCTTGCATACAGGGGCGGACTGACCATTCGAGCACTTGGGCACTGCCCGAGGGCCCGCGGTCAGTAGGGAGCCTCATGAAATGTCCCTGGTACCTTTTATAGGCGGGCTTTGAGGGTTGGGCAAGGACAAAGGGGTCCCATTATCCCCTATTGCCCGGGGGCCCCATGAGTTGTCAGTCCGCCCCTGCTTGCATATGATTGGATGATGGAAGTCAGCAGAGCTTCCTCTATTTTACTAAGCTCTGGAGCAAATGCCCTTGTAGAAGGTACAGTCCATCTTACTTTAGCAAATCTCCCTCTTCTATATGTCCACTAAAGTATGCTATAAGCAAGTAAGTAGCTAGTAGTAGTTAGTAAGCATGAGCCCAACTATTGTCGGTTCGGTTTAAAGTGGGACTTTACTTCACCCAGTCAACATGAACTATTTGTAATCCTCATGCTGCTAGCATTAGTAAATAGATTGGAAAGTATATTAGTATATTTACTTGTTTTAAACTTTTTTTACATTTCTTCAGTTACATCCTGGTTTCCATGCCTAGGCAAATGATATCATACATCCCAGGGGTCTTCAATAGAGGAGGAAGGGTTTTATCAGCTAAGCACATCCTCCTGCCTGTCTGCCCGAGCTAAGGACAGACGGATTCCAGGAAGTAAATGCTACATCAGTCATCTGCCCTTACTCAAGATGGCCACAACCAGAAATGCTAGAGGGTGTTTTTCAAAGTGGTTTGAATATTAAAAAATAATTAAATAGCGTTTTGGTTTTTGGTGCTCAGATGCAGTGCAGTTTCACTTTAAGTAAGGGTCAGTGAACTTCAAAGAATTTCAAATGCCACACCTGAACCCCATTAAAGGGAGCTGAATCTGTCAAATTAAAAACGCCAAATTTTCTAGGGATAATAGGCAAGGGGGTGTCAAAAATAACATGGAGAGTGGACACTGCACTGGGAAATTAGTACCAATGCAAGAAAAAAAAAAATTAAAACTTCCATTTGGCCAGGAGCAGTGATTTTTAAAGTGAAACATTAAAAACATCCAATTCCCTTAAATAACATGCCTGGGGTGCCCTAATCCTGCCTGTGAAGCTGTGAAGTGAAGGGAAAAGGGGGGGGGGGGGGGTAATGTGACATTTACAAAGGGAAAAAAAGTGCTTGAAATTGCCAGGAAATAACATTTCCTTTGCCAGATAATCGCTGGCAATTTAAACTATCATTCTCATCATCTTTGAACTTTGCTTTTGCTGTACTGTATTGTTCAGCATGAATAAAAAAAAATTGGGGTAATGTCCCCCTCACCCAAAAAAATACAGACATACCAGACCCTTCGATAAGGAAGTATCACACATAAAATAAGTAAATAAAAATGTGTGGGGTCCACCAGGAAATCTATACCAGGCCAGATTTGAGGACTAGATTGAAATGTTCATATCACTTTTCAGAGGTGAGTGACAGATGGTGAGGTGTGATGCCACTTGTTTTAACCCAGGGGCGGATTGACCATTTGGAAACTCGGGCACTGCCCGAGGGCCCGGGGTCAGTAGGGGGCCCATGAGATGCCCCTGGTACATTTTTCATAGACTTTTTTGAGTTTGGGCAAGGACACAGGGGCCCCATGATGCCCTATTGCCCGGGGGCCCCATGAGTTGTCAGTCCACCCCTGTTTTAACCACATTGTTGTTGAAAAACACGCTGCAATTGCAGGCATTGCACATGGTTGCAGGACATTTGCGGCACTTCCCCATTTGATTGAATGGGTTACATGCAGCCCACCGATTGCTACATGTTGGATAGGGTGTGACCATGATTACAACAGCATGTATATACTTCCATCTGCTGCCTGAAGGGGGAGCCAGGGCCATCTATAGGGGGGGGGCACTGGTCCTCCTGTATGGGGCCAGGGCACACGGGGGCACACAGACAGGAGGGGGAATCAATGCAGTGGGGCGGAGGAGCACTTACAGAAGGATGCACTGTGTAGCTCTCTGTAGCAGCTGAAAGCTAGTTTATCTCCAATTTGTCAGCTTTCAGCTGCTGCAGGGAGAGACACTGACACAGAGCATTGTTCTGTAATTGCTGGGGGACACACATCCCTCACCTTGTGCCAACTTCTGATTCCCCCATGTACCCCCCTTGTCACTGTGCTGGCTCCCCTCTTTCGGCAGTGCTGCCAGCTTCCCTCTCCCGCCAGCTGCTGCAGATACAGGGGATGTGTCACTACCAGGATGGAAATATGTCATTTACCCGTCTTTTCCTTTTTTGAATAAACAAAGTAAGTGATCAATACCTATCACTCCTGTGTCCATAGATAACTGAGCATAGTAAACTGTGTTTACTATGCTTCAGTTTATGAATGAACAGGAGTCTCTGTCTCCTGTTCATTCATCTTCAGTGCAGCTGAGGCTACAGAGAAAGGAATTGAAGAATCTGTGTCCTCTGTTTATTTCTCTGTCTGTGATGTCAGGGATCTGTTTACCTCCGACATCTCACCAAAGCACACCAACAGTGTTGTAAAAAAAAAAAAAATAAAAGTGTAAATAAAATTAATAACAATTAAAAAAATGTTAAAAAATTGTAAAAAGTAAGGGCTCATTCACACACGGGTTCTATGGCCCATATAGTATGAATGAGCAGTTTGTTCATGCAGTGGAAGCCCTCTGTTACTCTATGTGGATGCAGAGCTTCTATGAACACAGCCGCAGTTTCTATTTGATGGGTGTGCAGGTGTGAGTGCGTGACACATTATCAATGTTTGGGGACCATACACCCGCACCCCACATACCTGTTAAATGAGGACCTGAGGCTGTGTTCATGCAGCTGCTACACCTCCATAGCATAACATAGACTGCCTGCACACAGCAATAACCACATTAAAAAACCCACAAAACTGATTTACACTGTACAGGCCACAGAACCTATGTGAATGAGTCCCAAGACTTAATTCACACACAGAACCTTTTATTAACTCAGTACAGTTTTATATTGTACATTTAGCAGGAATTTTGTAAGTTATGTTATGTTTGTGTCCACTAATATTGATTTTAGTGCATTTTTAGTGAAAACATTGTCTTGATATGTTTGGAAGAGGGGGCCCTGTCAGGTAGACTGTATGCTTTAAATTGTGATATTTCTAAGGGCTCATGTACACTGCAGCTGCTAAACTCACGTTTAGGAGCTGTTCGGCGTTTTTTTCAGCAGCCCCTGAACTCTCCCTAATGTTTTCCTATGTGTCCATGTAAACATCTTCATTTACAGTTGTTTACAGACAGTTAAGTTTACAGTTAAATGCGGAAAATCGCGTTTATAAGTGTTTGCGTTTGAATTTTTTTTTAACTCTTCCAGTTCCCAATGCTGTCCAGAGCCTTTTTTCATCATGAAAAATGCATGCAAAGAGTTTTCAAAGTGCTCAGATGGACAAAACACTGAACACAGGATGTTACTACCAAGCTTGTCACACATTGGAATGATCAATTCACAACGCAGACCTCTCCCACCCTTGGAAACAAAAGATATGTTAATGACCATTCACACTTCAAATTCCTCATGAAGACCCCCTGCCAGGTAGCCTTAATGACTCCCTGCACCAGACACCACTCCACCCTTGGTAACAAAAAAATGTTAATGAGCAACTCACACGTAATTATCTCAACACATACTGCTGTCTCTGCTTCTACTCTCTGTATTTCTCTGAAACAGTCTGAAATAGTTAATAATTTACCACTTTTCAGTGCATTCTGGGCATTTGGGAGGTTCTCCTGTGCTTATCTTTAAAAAACACTTCTAAAGGCATTATGCAAACGCAGCTAAACAGACGTTTTTTAACCTACAATATCCAGCATTCAGTTTCCATCGTTCAGAAAACGTCCCGTGTACATGAGGCCTAACAGTAGCCTGGGGGGGGTTAAAAATGTGACTCAACCGAACATTTTTACTGCATTTCAACTGCACAACTAAACTTAACCTAAGGGTTACTCCATAAAAAAACAAAAGAAAAAAATGCATGAAATGCCCCTAAAAATAGCAGTCCCTTGATCCAAGCATGAAGCCTGGCTGGCCAGGAAAGGAGGGATGGGCATGTGCCCCCCACCTTAGCCATAACCTCCACATGACCTCAACATAGGAGGGTGACTTGCTATGCCCTGTGGTTGTGGGAATCTGCAGGCAAGGAACATTTCAGAATCTGTAAGACCCCTTCAGTCTGAATGTGACGTACATAATATCCGCACTCATGCACAAAAAAAGAATTATAACCCAAAATAAAGACACTAAAATGTTTGACTTTATTTGAAAAATGTTTGAAATTAAAAGTCCCATATTATAAAAGCATTATATCATGATGCTCCGCGCCTGAAGACTTGCCGGAAAAAAAAAAAAATACAACTCGTCACACATGACCAATCTCAATGGGACTCGGAGCTCCCCAAGCTGTCACCAGCTATATAAGGGAAGGGGCAGGGTTGTGACATTACTGAACAAATATAGTCATGGCTATATTTGGTTATTGTCAATGCACAAATATGGCCAGTAGCCATATTTGGGCAGTGATGTCATGCTATCCCTGCCCCTTTGATAGTGGTGATCTCCTGGTGATGTCAGTGGTTCCTTGCATCCACAGCTTCTTTGGAGACCACTGACAGCAGGAAGCTGTAATATATGGAAGCAGTAGAAATACAAATTCTATATATGATATTTGGCTCCTCCCGAACAGTGAGTCTTCCTAGCAAAGGCTGTCATTCGCCGAACCGCCTGCACAGCCAAAGTTCAGTCTGAAGCTAGGGTCAGATTGAACCTTCAGCTCATTCCTTATAGCTAGTCACATTTACCTGCGCTATTTCTGTAATACAGAAGATATTTCATGGCTTCTCCAAGACACTTCCTCAGTTCCAAGCAAATATTAGGCATTTTGCACTGCAGAGTAAGAACTGGTCAGAAAGGGATGACCGTGACCAGGGGCAAACTGACAACTCATGGGGCCCCCAGGCAATAGGGGATCATGGGGCCCCTGTGTCCTTGCCCAAACTCAAAAAAGCCTATGAAAAAGGTACCAGGGGCATCTCATGGGGCCCCCTACTGACCCCGGGCCCTCGGACAATCGCCCGAGTTTCCAAATGGTCAATCCGCCCCTGACTGTGACACAACTGGCCAGCTTGAAAATGTATGGCAATATATGAAAATATATATATATTTTAAGCAAACATTTTATAGAAATACTGTATGTAAGGGTTTATAGCAATGTGCAGAGTGTTAATTCAGGAATTTCAGTGTTAACATGTGGTCACGCTCCTTTAACACCTTGTGTTATACATATGTAAGCCCTTTGGATTTGAGAGCAGACATCTCTCCGTTTCTCTAACAGCAATGGCCCCAGTGACCACAGAGCTGTCACTACAGGGACGTTCTCCAGTGATCTTCTGTTACTTTGATCCTAGGAGGTGTCATTGCTGGTGTATAAATACCTGCTCTTCTTACTGCTGCTTCTGCCGGATTTTTCTCAGTATGCACTGCCGTTGTCAGCCTGGATGTGAGACAATGAGAGGCAGAGCAGCCACAAAGCAATGACAAAGAAGCCAAGAGAAATAGAATGAGAAAATAAAAATTGTACCAGTGCCGTCTGCTAGACTGCCAGTTTCCAGCATTGGCTCCATAACGAGGGGCCAAAAGCATGATTGTCTGGATAAAAATTGGACTAGTGGCATTGCTATGTAAAATTCTCATCCAGCTCAAAAATAAAAACAAAATCTCAGACTCTTCATGATGCCATCTTTTTTCACTTTATGTCAGGGAGCAGAATGTCCCTGCAGTGCTGAACTGGAGCTGTGGACCTTCTCAGCCCAAACATAAATCCTGGCAGGAATTGGAACTGGATGAATGTTTTAGGCAATGCTTTCATTCTAGAGCCTGACTCCAAGACTAAGCTGTGCCAACTACAATTGCCCAATAAGATCACCTCCATAGTCCGTAAAGAAACTCATATTAGATCAGGGGATGAGTGTTGGTTGAGTTTAGCCGCAAGGTCAGGATATGCCAGATCCAATAACAAACTATAACTATATATTGTGGAGCTTCTCAGCCCAAATGCATTCCTGGCAGGAATCAGAACTGGAGGAAGCTTTTAGAGGACACCTTTGTTCTAGAGCCTGACCAGGGGAGGACTGACCATTTGGAAACTCGGGCACTGCCCGAGGGTCCGGGGTCAGTAGGGGGCCCCATGAGATGCCCCTGGTACCTTCTTCATAGGCTTTTTTGAGTTTGAGCAAGGACACAGGGGCCCCATGATCCCCTATTGCCCGGGGGCCCCATGATTTGTCAGTCCGCCCCTGAGCCTGACATCAAGATTAAGCTGTGCCAACTGACATTCCCCAATGGGATCGCTTCCATAGTCAGTAAAGATACTTATATTGGATCAGGAGATGAGTGTTGATTTTGTTTAGCCATAAGGTCAGGATATGTTGGATCCAATACCAAACTATAATTAAACTCTGGAACTTCTCAGCCCAAATGCATTCCTGGCAGGATTTAGAACTGGAGGAAGCTTTTAGAGGACACCTTTGTTCTAGAGCCTGACATCAAGATTAAGCTGTGCCAACTGACATTCCCCAATGAAATCGCTTCCATAGTCAGTAAACATACTTATATTGGATCAGGAGATGAGTGTTGATTTTGTTTAGCCATAAGGTCAGGATATGTTGGATCCAATACCAAACTATAATTAAACTCTGGAACTTCTCAGCCCAAATGCATTCCTGGCAGGATTTAGAAAGCTGGAGGAAGCTTTAAGAGGACACTGTTGTTCAAGAGCATGACATTAAGATTAATCTGTGCTAACTGACATTCCCCAATGGGATCACTTCTATAGTCAATAAAGATACTTATATTGGATCAGGAGATGAGTGTTGGTTGAGTTTAGCCATAAGGTCAGGATATGCCAGATCCAAAAATAAACTATAACTAAATGATGGACCTTCTCAGCCCAAATGCATTCCTGACAGGAACCAGAACTAGAGGAAGGCCTTTAGGGGACACTTTTGTTCTAGAGCCTGACATCAAGACTAAGCTGTGCCCACTGACATCCCCCTGATGAGATCACCTGCATAGTCAGTAAAGACACTTTTATTGGATCAGGAGATGAGTGTTGGTTAAGCTTGGCCATAATGTCAGGATATGCCAGATCCAATAGCAAGCTAAAACTTAATTCTGCACTCTCTTAGCCAAAATGCATTTCTGTCAGGAACCATAGCTGTGTATCCAAAGCACAGTTGTGACGTGGTGGTGTGGGCTGTTAGGTGTTAAAACAGTAGGTGAGAAGGCTACATAATGCATCCCAGCCACCTCTCAAAAGCCTTCTAAACAGTAATCCATGACAAACTGTTCTTCAGAGGATAGTTTTAATGTAAATTAACTCTTTCTGTTCCCTTGTAGATGAAAAAAACACTTAACCCTTGCAGTACAGGGGGAGCTTTAACCACATTTAAAAGATAAGTTCACCTTTGGGAGCATGTTACATGGTCCACACGCTTATAGGGTGGACAATGTAACATGTTCCCACTGCTGCAGCCGATATGTGATCCTCCCCGCTCCCTGTGACAGCAGTACAGGGAGAAGTTCCCCATACAATCTGTTACTTTTTGAAAACAGAGAGGCCGTGCGGGGCTCCACCCAGATGGCTATTCTGTGAATGAATGAACTACAAGTTCCGACAGCTTTTGTGGCTGTCAGCTTGTTGTTCCCAATGAACTACCATGGCGTTTTTGAAGTGTGTGGTAGCTCATTGAGTCTTCCTTCCTGTTAGACTGTATCTACTTGCCCATGCGGGATGTACAGGCAAGCAGATACACTGACAGTTTTCAGGAGTCCTGCTCTGCCAATTGCTGGTGCAATGCTTTCCAGGCCCCCTTAAAAATAAATAGTAAATGCATATTTTTTTACATGCAAAAAAATAGGCATTTATTATTTTTTTTAAAGTGAACTTATCCATTAGACAAATAAGTGAAGACTGAGAAGCAGAAGAGTTGAATTGCAATTAGTTCCACATTAGGAGGATCACAGTTTGACTAAGCAGAGAAGCTGTGCTCCTTATAATGGAGAACTGTCAGCATAGTATTGTGTTTTACCAACAAGGGGGGGGACTGAAAAAAGTTGACAAATTGCCCCCTATAGGGCCATGTTTTAGAGTCTCTGTCAATGTATAATTCGCACCAGGACCCTGTGGCTTTTAAGTTATGACCATTTAAATTGGAACTAAACTGTATCTGAATATCACAAACTGAATATGTTGTTTGATAATTTTTAATATTCAAAGCAAATTCACCTATCCATCCATCTCTCAATGCTTTATTTTGATTAGAAATCACTTTGAAAAGCACCCCCCTAGCATTTCTGGCTGTGGCCATCTTGAGTAAGGGCAGATAATTCATGCAGCATTTACCTCCTAGAATCCATCTACCCTTAGCTCAGGAATGCAGGCAGGAGGGTGTGCTTAGCTGACCAGTCCTCACCTCCTCCAGATTAAAGGAAAAAAAAATATTCTCTTAAAGACTCCTAGGATGTATGGCATCATCTTGGCCTAGGCCAGGAAGCAACCAAAGAACTGAAGAAATATAAAAAAAAGTTTAAAACAAATATATAAAACTTTAATAAACACCCTCCTATCTATGTATTAATGATAGCAGTATAAAGATTAAAATAGTTAAAGGTTAACTCAACCTTCATGGGAAAAAATAGCAAATAAAACAAAAAATAATATAGCTTATACAATTGCTACACACGTCATATTGTAATTCAATGTTATGTAAAATGCAATGCAATATGGCAGCCTGCAGGCGTTTCATACACAGATGATGTACAGAACACCCCCCAGAAATGTAATTTCCTGCTTGTGTGATTGTCTCACTAACTCTCCCAGAAATCTGCACTAGAATACAAGTCAGATTTTGGGCATACCCTGCAACAAAAAGTCATTTTTTGGTGAGATACTCCCAAAGAGAAATCACATCCAAAGGGATGCAGACCCTGCCACTTTCCTCAGTAGAACCCTGCAAATGCAGCAGCTGATTGATAATTAAGTCACTACCATTCACATTCAGTTTGCACATGGACACAAACATGGACATTGCTCATCAGCCAATCACATGCCAGCAACTCAATGCATTTAGGCATATAGACGTGGTGAAGGCGACTTGCTGAAGTTCAAACTGAACATCAGAATGGGGAAGAAAGGAGATTTAAGTGACTTTAAACATGGCATGGTTATTGGTGCCAGACGGGCTGGTCTGAGTATTTCAAAAACTGCTGATCTACTGGGATCTTCACACACAACCATCTCTAGTGTTTACAGAAAATGGTCCGAAAAATAGAAAATATCCAGTGAGTGGCAGTTGTGTGGATGGAAATGCCTTGTTGATGACAGAGGTCAGAGGAGAATGGGCAGAGTGGTTGCTGCAACATTCAGATGGAAGGGTCAGAATTTGGCATAAACAACATGAAAGCATGGATCCATCCTGCCTTGTATCAATGGATCAGGCTGGTGGTGGTGGTGGAATATTGTGGGGGATATTTTCTTGGCACTAGCAAGGTGTATCTAATAGAGTATATCTATCTATATATATATATATATATATATATATATATATATATATATATACATTTCAGTGTCATGTCTGCTTTTGTTCATCCACAATACTTGGTGGATTGATTGGATTAGTAATTTACAGAAAAAAGAAAAGGATATTTGTGATTTCTTTTCAGATCTCAGAAAGTGACAAGTACACTGCATGTCTGGCAAGATTACCATGTAATTCCTATACTTGCTGAAAGTGTTATTTGCCTGAAAAGTGAAAACTAATTTGACCATCACATCTAAGGACCAGTAAGTCAATATATTTGACATTTGTGTTTAGGTGAGGATACACTTTAACTATATAACAGTGTAAGTACCTAAATATGACCTGATATTACCTCTTTTATAGCAGACCTCACTCAGTATGGTAAAAGGAGCACAGTGAGCCAATCAGTTTCTCTGCAGTGCTCATGCTCTAACAAAGGACGTACTAATAGGAGGAGAGTGCAGAGTGACATGAGATGAACTCATCAGTATTCTGCTTCTCTGTTCATTGGTTAGTCACAGGCTGGGGGAGGGACAAGAACTTTAAGTGTTACTTAATTGCAGAAGAGAAAATCAGTTATTCTCCCCATCAGAAAGAACTGTGCTGTGTAAATCTCAGGACTGGATGGGCAGGAAACAAATCCTTTGGGATATAAAACAGCTCCCTTATGTGTATTTCATCAATGTATTTAGCCTTGTACTTGTGTAACACCCTGCCGTAGCACTGTTGGTAGAATGTTAAGTGAACACAAGATGACAGTGTCCTGCACCACAGTTGTGCAAACTCTGTTGTAAAGCTTTGTGGGATACATAGGCTGATTGCAGGACTTTGGTGTTGGGCAGCGAGCTAGCAAACTACATTTCCCAGAGGAGCTGGCATGTGGGCGAAGGCAGATATATACAGAGGCCCAGGAACCCAGAGACAAGAAGTGACAGGAGAGAGTCAAAAAGTGGGTGTGAACATGTTCCCACTATTCGAGAATGGTTGGCTAGGATCAACAAAATAGAAAAAATGGAGGAACTTATCTCTGTATCAAAAGAACATCCCGAAAGATTCAGAAAGACTTGGGCTTGTTGGAGCAATTTCAAAACCACCACTACCTATCGCTTCTTAGTTCATGAACAGCCTATACCCCCCGACTGAATGAGTAGACACTATGGGGTTTATTTACTAAAGCTGGAGAGTCCAAAATAAGACTCCCTTCTGCATAGAAACCAATCAGCTTCCAGGTTTCATTGCCAAAGCTTCATTGAACAAGCTGAGGTTAGAAGCTGATTGGTTTCTATGCAGAAGGGAGTCTGATTTTGGACTCTCCAGCTTTAGTAAATAAACCCCTATGTGATATTAGGGAACGCCCTGGCCCCCGAAGGCGCGTTTGATGTACATTTGGATGGGCTGAGACTCGGCATCGTGGCCTTCGTCTAGGATTCTTGATTCATGCACTGCCCTTTTGACCGATCCTGCATGTATTACATCCCACTATATATGACTATTGTTGTGGCCCATACAAAACTATATGAATTATTCTATCCATAACTACCCACTTTAACATTCCCTTACCTTACTACCCATTCCCTTACCCCTCCCCCCTTCCCCCCCCCCCCTTTTTTTTTTTTCTCTTCCCCCACTACCTCACGTTACATTCCCATTTTTCTTGCTAGCTATTCTCTTTTCTGACTTTTCTTTATCTTAAGCCTCCCAAATTCCAACAAATTTGGCATTTTATCTCTTATACAAATGTGCCTGATTTCACATGGCTTAACCACTCCAGAAATGGACAT